CTCTTTACACCGCGAGGCTCTGCTCAGAAGGCAGGTGGTCAGAAGAACGGCTCCTATCTGTCATCTGCAGGAGCAGCTTGTGCACGCTTTTGGTGCGTTCAAAGACGGCTCAGGAAAACGCATTACCATATGTTAATAATGGATAAAACAGCTGTTACGGCTGAGAAAAGTGCAGGGGACATAGAGCACAGATGCAGGAAGTGCGGGGACTCAGGGAGACATGTCTCACGCATATCCCGCATCCATTATGTCTGTGCCTTCACTGCCCAGGGCCCTTTAGAAACCGTGGGCCCCTGGGCAATTGCCCATTTGCCCATATGGTTAATCCGGCCTTGCGAGTACCACCACCCGGAAAGTCCACCACCAACACCACGAGCTGGCCGTTCCTGTAAAAATAAAAGAAAGGCACTTTAAAATTACAAACAAAATACCAATCAGTCTACAGTCAATCAAGCAGTAATAGTCCAAATTCAGAAAGTCCATCCTGGCAGGAACCGATCCGTTGTAACAGACACCACTCAGGGCGGCACCAGAAGGGTAGTCGGAGCTGATCACCAATCAGCCTGAATCAGCCACACTGGACGAGTGATTGGAGCCAGCTTTACGCCGACCAGGACGGCGAGCCCCAAAGCCAGCACACAGGACGACAGGTAAGTGGCTGACCGACCATCCAGCGGGCAGACGGACTGCCAGTCGGGGACAACCAGAACAGCAGGTAGACAGCCAGCCAAGGACAAACAGTCGGCCCAGGACAAGATGATAAGACAAGAACTCATAAAAACATTTTGGGTACATGTATTCTGAGACTGATTACAATCAAGTTACAGTTTTTCGTCTCTTTCCTGGGTCAATCCTTGATCAAATCAAAGAGCGTGGTGCCTCGAGGAATAATATATTTAAATACAATAAATTTAAATAGTTCTCGGCCAAACTGTAAGAAATATGTGTTTTAATATCGGCTGACAATCAGATGAAAACACAAGTGTTAAATACACTGATCTGCGATAGGAAATAAATGTCATACAACACCAGAATTTTGGAGTGAGGTTTATTATGCCAGCGGCTGACAAGTCAAAACCACACTGAATGAAAAACAGGAAGTCCCCGTTTAAAGAGTAACTTACCCCAAAATTAACTTTTTTTAGCTGATAAACTGCCTAGAATGTGTCTAAATGTTATATAGTACTGTTTCTGTGCTAATTGTGATGTTTTTGTGC